AGGAAAAAAGTTTGTACATGTCCAGTACAAATGCAATTAAAAATATTTTGGGTTGGTCAAATCTACAGATAACAGAACCCGCAGATACGATGGGCTGACTGTACTACAGTTCTGCCTTCACATGATGGCATCATTAGCTTGAGCTTTAAAAAGTAAAAATGAGGCAACCCACAGGATCTCTTGGTTACCTGCTTGGTGTTATGCTTATTTGGATTCCAACATTAGCAGAAGATGTGACTCAGTGTTTACTAATTAGGTAATATATAAGATCAGAAACCAACTTATAAGAACATTTTTCAGTAAGAGTTAAGAGCCCTACCATTTTTATTAATGGCAATGGACAACTAATACTGTTTTTAAGTGTTCTTAGATACTTAGGCGCGGTGGTGCACGCCTGTCATTCCAGCTGCTCAGGAGGCTGAAGCAGAAGGATCCCAAGTTCAAAGCCAGCCTGAGCAACTTAACTCAAAAATTAAAAAAAAAAAAAAAATGAAGGCTAGGGATGTGGCTCAGTGGTTAAGTATCCCTGGGTTTATATCCCAGCAACCCCTCCACCAAAAAAAAAAAAAGTTCTTAAAAGTATCCACATTTCACTTGTTGCTTGGAAAATTTCAATGAAATATTCTGGAGCAAAATTTCAGCTAATGTAATTAGGGACCGTTTTGTTATTTAGTGGAAATAAACCCCAAACTTTCACCATTCTTACCTGATAGATTTGGGAATTTGTTTTGTTTGTTTGTTTGTTTTTTAAAAGAGAGAGTGAGAGAGGAGAGAGAGAGAGAGAGAGAATTTTTTTTTAATATTTATTTTTTAGTTCTCGGCAGACACAACATCTTTGTTGGTATGTGGTGCTGAGGATCAAACCCGGGCCGCACGCATGCCAGGCGAGCGCGCTACCACTTGAGCCACATCCCCAGCCCAGATTTGGGAATTTGTGATTCATATTTGCCTAACAATATTTTGTTGATGAATAATGATGGTATCTAACATGATTTGTTGACAAATGAATTCATTTTATAGGGATTTGCACAGCCAAGTCAAAAATTTTGAAAAGATGGCTGTTTAACCATACAGCTGTTCATGAATTCAGTGCATGAGTATTTCCACCAATTCTTGTTATATTGACATTGCCTATGTTGGGTGCAAAGGTATAAGAATGTGAGCCCATTGGTACTCATGCATTGATAGTGGATATTATGGACTTAGTGATGCTGAAAAAAAATCAGATTTACCATGCTAATGTTTGTAAAAGAGGACTTACAATTATATTATGGTACTTGAGAAGGTGTAAATTCTTGCCTGGTTTATTTCTTCCTGCTATACAGCAAAGACATAATGATCCCTTTTCATTACTACAATGGTTCATTCCCAAGTTGTGCTGGAATCAGCTGATATTTACTCCAGGAAGACAATGGTGTGCATCTATTTCTATATGTTCAGTGACCTGCATTTTGGGAACCCACATTTTGACATGTTGGGTATATTTTCACCATGCAATTGGAAATGCTAACAAATCAGACACCCTTCAGAGCTAGCTGATAAACATTCGCCAGCACATCAGTGTTTGTTCTGTGCCACCACTCGCTCTAACGGCTTTGTTGCTTCACTGCCATTGGAGGCAAAGGAGTCAGGAATAGAGGCTGGGGAGACAGGAGTTAGACATTTGAATTGGGATATAGATTCCTTTAAGTAGCTCGGTGACCTTGAACAAGTAACATAACCTTTAATACCCATTTTATTAGTAAAATGTAGTTGCTATAGGATCCCTATCAGGGTTATGAATATAAAATGATATCATGTATGATAAGCACATAACAGTGTCTGATACACACTTATTGTTCAGTAAGTGGTATACATTAGGTCAGTTTTTCCAGTACTAATATTCATTCAAACAATATATATATATATATATATATAGAAAGGCTATTTACATTGTGCTTTGTGTCCTACATGGATTTATTCATTCCTTCCTTTATTTTTGGTGCTGGGGATAGACTCAGGGCCTCATTCACCTACCTGTCTTCCTAAGTATCCCATCATTCTTCCATTTCTCTTCCTTCACAAACAAACACAGAGTCTTCTTCCCAGCACATTGCTGTCTCTCTTCTGTCCCTGGCATGTGACTCTCTGAGGTGTGACAAATGTGTAGCAAGAACTCCAAGATGACTCAACCTGATAGCTGCTGCTTTTATGTGCCTTGAGGCCAAGAGAGAAAAGCTTGACTTCCCAGAGTTAATCATCTAGCAAAAGTGCGGCCCAGGGTCACAGCCCTGCACTGCATCTCCCTTCCTGGGTGCCCGCTTGGTACCATGCTCAGAAGGGCATTTCACCCATGTGGAACTTTCTCCTTCAAACTTCCTGTATTGTGAAAAATGAGGAAAAGTGGGAATGTCAGGTTCTTACAGGGACAGGTGGCACTGAGATTGAAATAATTATGAATAAAAGTATTTGATGTAAGGGCGGTGGCTATTGACCTCTTTATGCTCCTCTTTGAATGTTAAGTGTTCTGCACACACAAGCTTCTCTCGGAATTCTTCAGCTACTTTGAAGTGTGTCTTTTCAATGTGATTGGTTTTTCAACACATAAATTTTGGAGCTATTTTTATATGTGGAAACACTCAAAATGGGTACAAGTTGTTTCAAATTGAGAGCTCTTTTATCTTCAACTTTCCTTTGGAAAAGTTCCTTATGAGGAACCTAAAAATGTAAAAATTTAAAATTTGGCAATAAGGAATAGAAAATAGAACATGTCAAATGCTATTACCCAAGTTATCTAATTAATCAAAAGACTGTACCTGAAAAAATATTTTATTTTTATTTTTATTTATTTTTATTTTTTTAAGAGAGAGGGAGAGAGAATTTCAATATTTTATTTTTTAGTTTTCAGCGGACACAACATCTTTGTTGGTATGTGGTGCTGAGGATCGAACCTGGGCCGAACGCATGCCAGGCGATCGAGCTACCGCTTGAGCCACATCCCCAGCCCCACAATATATTCTTAATATACCCCATTGTTTCAATAAAGCACTAGTTGTGATCACTAATATTGCCAAACTTTTCATCACTATGTCTTCAGAAGCATAAAATTTGTGCATAAACCCAGTCATTAAAAGATCAAAGTGTTTTTTTAAAGAGAGAGTGAGAGAGGAGAGAGAGAGAGAGAGAATTTTTAATATTTATTTTTTTTAGTTCTCGGCGGACACAACATCTTTGTTTGTGGTGCTGAAGATCGAACCCGGGCCGCACGCATGCCAGGCGTGCGCGCTACCACTTGAGCTACATCCCCAGCCGCTATCAAAGTGTTTTTGTATTTAATATCTCAATAGTAGAATATTCAGTTTTTATTTTCAATATAAAATTCAATTCTTTACAAAGAATGAATGCATATCAAGTGTATGAGTTTCCATCATTTGAGAAACTGCAACACCACTCACTTTAAGCATTTCCCCTAGCTTTTATGCTATGGAAAAAATGTGATCTCTCAATGATGAAAAAATAAATTTTAGGTTTCTCAGTGCTCAAATGAAAATACATTAAAACAAAATCAGTCCATACCCTCAGAATTCAATGTTGTTGAACATCCAAAAGAAACACAATATAAAATTTTTTAAGTTGTTCTGATTAGTTTTCCATGACAGCAGAATGCATTTCAAATCATTCTACACAGGGCTGGGGATGTGGCTCAAGCGGTAGCGCGCTTGCCTGGCATGCATGCGGCCCGGGTTTGATCCTCAGCACCACATACAAGCAACGATGTTGTGTCCGCCGAGAACTAAAAAAAATAAATATTAAAAATTCTCTCTATATCTCTCTCTCTCTCCTCTCTCACTCTCTCTTTGAAAAAAATTTAATTAAAAAAAAACTCTCTCTCTCTCTCTCAAAAAAAAAATCTTTCTACACAAATGGAGCACAACTTCTCATTCCTCTGGCTGTACATAATACAAAGTCACACCGCTCATGCAATCATACATGTACAAAGGATAATAATGTTTGTCTCATTCCACTGTCCTTCCTATTCTTATACCTCTCCCCTCTTCTCACTCCCCTCTGCCTAATCCAAAGTTTTTCCATTCTTCCTTATCCTCACTCCCCATTATGGATCAGCATGCACATATCAGAGAAAACACCTGGCTTTTGGTTTTTTGGGATTAGCTTACTTCACTTAGCATGATATTCTCCAACTCCATCCATTTATTTGCCAATGCCATAATTTCATTCTTCTTTAAGGCTGAGTAATATTTCATTGTGTATATATACCACATTTTCTTTATCCATTCATCTGTTGAAGGGCATTTAGGTTCTATAGTTCAGCTATTGTGAATTGAGCTGTTATAAACATTGATGTGGCTGTATCACTGTAGAATGCTGATTTTAAGTCCTTTGGGTATAAACTGAGGAGTGGAATAGCTGGGTCAAATGGTGGTTCCATTTGAAGTTTTCTAAGGAATCTCCATGATGTTTTCCAGAGTGGTTGCACCAATTTGCATTTCCACCAGCAATGTATGTGTGTACTTTTCTCCCCACATCCTAGCCAACACTTATTGTTGCTTGTATTTTGATAATTGCCATTCTGTCTGGAGTGAGATGAAATCTTAGAATTGTTTTGATTTGCATTTCTCTAATTGCTAGAGATGTACAATTTTTTCATATATTTGTTGATTGATTATATATCTTTTCTGTGAAGTGTTTGTTCAGTTCATTTATTGATTGAGTTATTTGTGGATTTTTTTTTTTTTGGTGTTAAGTTTTTTGAGTTCTTTATATATCCCGGAGATTAGTGCTTTATTTGATGTGCAGGTGGTACAGATTTTCTCCCAATTCTGTAGTCACTCTCTTCATGTTATTGGTTGTTTACTAAGAAGAATCTTTTTAGTTGGAATCCATCCCATTTATTGGTTCTTGATTTTTTTTTCTTGGAAACACAATACAAAATTTGCCTATTACATACCCAGAGGGCTGAACCAAACTTCTTTTTGATAATTTGCATATTTCTTTCCTAGTGATACAGGAACAACACCTCCAGAGAGTGGTATTTTTGGATTCATGATAAACTTCTCTGCATTTCTTGGTAAGTATACAATTATTATGAATAAGTTAAAAATTTACAATCTCGGGCTGGGGTTGTGGTTCAGAGGTAGAGCGTTTGCCTAGCATATGTGAGGCACTGGGTTTTCTCCTCAGCACCACATAAAAATAAAATAAAGATATTGTGTCCACCTACAACTAAAAAATAAATGTTTAAAAAAATGTTACAATTTTTCTATTTCTGGTGCATTACATTGCAGTGGGATTCATTATGCTATAATCATAAATGCACATAACAATTTGACCAGTCTCATTCCCCAATATCTTCCCTTTCCCTCCCCAATTTGTATATTTTTTTAAAAGTACAACCTTTGCAACTAGAATGTTGCCCTACATTGAGAAATTAAAACATGTAGAAATCCAAGATTATAACCTTGTTAGAGAATTATTCTTCACTTTATTTAGCAGTTTGACACAGGATTTGCTGTGGGTGGTTTTAAACCCCGAACTTCTGAGGTGGCTTTGAAATGCAACTTAGTTTTTAAAAACTGTGATGTATAGCCAAGATACTTCTATAAGCCAATGCAGAAAAGACTGTTTCTCCAAGTGTGCTCATGTGAAAGGCAACTTACATGAAAACCATCTGGGTGCTGGTTAGAGTGCTGCTCCCTGGCTGTACTACAGATGTACTCATTCAGAACCTTTTAGAATGGGCCCAAGAATATGTGATGTTAATGAGCACTCAGGGCTGGAGGTGTAGCTCAGTGGTAAAGCGCTTGCCAGCCATGCATGAGTTCCTGGGTTTCATCCTCAGTACCCCCAGCCCTCCCCTCTAAAAAACACTGTAGGGGACACTTGGATACTCACTAAAGTTTGAGAACCACTGACCTGTTAAAGAAATGAGAAAGGTGAAACAAGGAATAGTTTGTCTCCAACACAAGTATGATTTTTCTTTTCAGTTCCTCAAAACCACCTGAGATGCAATTGATGGGATACAATCCTGTTGTGAGTCAATTAATGTAATATCACAACTACTTTTTGATGTAAAACTCAGTGTACTATAGGGGGATCTGAGTATGTAGATGTAAGATGTAGAGATTTTTCTCTTAATCCTTTCATAATCCTCTACCCTGTGGAACAATCAGGTTGCCAAGGAACTATGGTTAACCAGCACTTTCTGTCCCTCTCCATTGGTGCAGGTGAGAAGGGACAGAGGTACTGGAAACTGATTGGTAACTGGGTATCTTTGGAATTTGTTCATGCCACTTGGTAGGGAGTATGTTTCGTCTCGTCACCCATTTGGTATCTTCTCCCAAGGAATTGGAAGTAAGCAAGGGGAAGTGGAAATGAGGGGTCGTCAATCTCAATCTCAGACCCTCTTACACCATCCCTTGCCAAGAGTCCAGACTTAGAAGACTGAAATTATTTTGAAACAGCAAGTGATAAATATGGCTTTTGCTTCTAGGCCATGCAGAAGCTGACATGAATATATTTACTTAAAATAGTCCATGAATATATACAATGATTTTTACCTTTATGTATAATTATAATACACAAATTTTTAAAAATGGTAGAGTATAGGAAGAGTGTTGGGGGAGAGAAAGGGGAGTTACTGGTGAATGAGTTTGACCAAATCATGCTATGTGCTTGTATGAAGATGTCAGAATGAATCCCACTATTATGTATAATTACAATCAATAAAAATAAATTATGATAAATTATTAATTTTTAGCCTGCTTTTTAAAGTATAGCAAAATATTTTAATCATCATTATGTCAATACACGGCAAATCTACCTTATCCTTTTTTTGGGGATGGGACGCAGATACCAGGGATTGAACTCAGGAGCACTCGACCACTGAGCCACATCCCCAGCCCTATTTTATATTTTATTTAGAGACAAGGCCTGAGTTGCTTAGTTTTATTTTTTTTTCTTTTGCTAAAGCTGACTTTGAACTCATGATCCTCCTGTCTTAGCCTCAGAGCCTCTAGGATTACAGGCATGCACCACTGTATCCAGTTACCTTATCCTTTTAACACATGACTGATATCTATCATGTAGATGTTTGGTATTTTAATTTATTCAGTCTGTCTCCTATTGGTAAACACTTAGGCTCTTTCTCGTATTTTGTAATTACAGTGTAGAAGTGAATGTCCTTTTAATCATATCTTTGTGTATTGAGGTGACTATTTCTGTAAGCTTGCTGAGTTAAAGGGAATACATATCTAAAATTATGTTAGCTATCTATTTATCCCGCAAATTCTCTCTCTTCTTCCTTTCCTTCCTTTCTTGTGGTTTTCTTTTTTTTTTTTTTAAATTTGAGACAGTGTCTTGCTGATTTGCCCAGACTAGCCTCAATTTGTGTTCCTCCTGCCTCAGCCTGCAGAGTAGCTGGAATTATAGGTGTATACTATTGCACCCGGCCTCCAACGTTCACATTCTAAGCATCTAACACAAACAGTTGCAATTAAAGAAGTAATATAAAAAGCAAAAGTGCAAGAGAAGTTTAGTGTTTCCAAAATCTTGGGATGAAAAAACTTATCTGAGCATACACAAAGCACAGATGCTAAATAAGAGTTAACGGATTTGAGTAGGTAAAAAAATGAAAACTTCTAAACAATGAAAGGTATCAGAAATGAAGTTAAAAGACAAACAACAGATCAGAGGAAAATTTGTAATATTTATAGCAGATTTAGACTAGGGGACATAATGTGTAAAAAGCAACCACAAATTACAAATGAATAAACAAAACCAAGAGGAAAATGAGAAAAAAATTAAAACATGCAATTCTCAGAAGATGAAATGAAAATGATTGGTAGATACAATGAAAATTGCTAAATCTCAGTAATAACTAGGAAGATGCCAATTAAACCAACTGGTGCCATTTTTTATTCATTAGATTGACAATAATTAAAAAGGCGAGTGTATACAAAATTGCTCTCCAGTTCTGCTGATGGGCATATGAATTGTTACAGTCTTAGAGCAATCTGGAAGTACTTCTGAGCATTTTAATTGTGTGTGGGTTTTTTTTTCTTGAAACAGTAATAACTACTTCTAAGAACTGGCCTTTCAGAAATACCTGATAGAGTGCCCAAAGATTTATATCCAAAGATGTTTATTGAACACTGTTTATAACTGAAAAAAAACAGAGAAGCAATGTAGAAATCCATTTGTAAAAGAATAATGAAATAAATATGGTATCTCATACTATAAGACCCTTCATAAATGACGAGGTAGATTTGTTTTGTACTGACTTGGAAAAATCTCCAGGGTATATTGTTAAGTGAGAAAAGCAAGACAGAATAATACATATACTATAATGGCTTTTATGTGAAAAAATAACAACCACAACGGGGTGTGTATGTTTCTGTCTATTTATTCCATCACACTGGAGAGAAACTAAAATGGGGTGCGGGAAGGGACAGGGATGGGCAAATAGGGAGGCATTGCAATCAGGACTTATGGTGGGTACTGGGGATTGAACTGAGGGTCTCATGCATGCTAGGCAAGTACTCTAGCACTTACCTGCAGTTATAGCTGTAATCAGGACATTTTAACAAATGGTTAAAAACTGCTTCTAAGTTTTTCATTCCAAAAAAAAAAAAACCATGAAAATTTCATCAAAGTGCCTTTCTTTTTCAGGTGCAGCCACGATGTACACGAGATATAAAATAGTAGAGAAGCAAAATCAAACCAGCTATTTCGGCACTCCTGTTTTTAACTTGGTGTCCTTAGTTCTTGGATTGGTGGGATGTATCGGAATGGGCATTGTAGCAAATTTTCAGGTATGGTCTGTGGCTTTCTTGGTACTGGGGACAATGTGTGAGGAGAGAAGCAGGAACCCAAGCAGCACACTTTTGCTGGGAGAGCTGTGAAATGGTTGATGAGTTTCCAAAAATTGGATGAGATTAATTTTTAGGAATAAATCTTTGACATTGGGACATTGGTCTTATCTGATCCTTGGGAGAGAAGGGGTGCATGTTTGTACAATTATGAGTGTGCGCTTCCAAAAAATGCTGTGGCTTCTGCATTGGTCCATTTCATATTGATGTGGTTTGATACAGGGAGAGCTACTTAGTAATTATATTGATTTTACTGAGTATGAAGATATTTGTGTGCTTACCAATTCCACCATTCGGTAGATTTCATCTGGCATTCAAAGAGCAGCATCTGATCTCCTCCTTTTGCAGCCAAAGTTTGGTTAGTGGAGGTTAAGTCATTTGCTGGGGATTATTTAGCTAATGAGTCTCAGAATCAAAATATGGCCCCCAGAGAAAATTAACTTCTATGCAGAGTCTACTTGATATATCCTCAATGTGTGAGGTATATGGGAAAAAAAACATCATTATTCTACTCTATGGATTTCTGCTCATATTATTTGTCTATGGAGACAATATTTAATATTTTAAAAATACTGGTCAAATTTCTAGTTACTATTACTACTACTACTACTTATGCCCACCTCTAGGGATTGTTGCAAGGATTCCATCATATAATCTACCATAGCCAGCAGTCTGTACCTGGTGGCTATTGTGGTCATTATTGGTTCATCATCACAGGTTACCATTAAGATGGACCTGTGCTCTCCTTCACCTGTTGTCTCTGTGAGAGCAGAATGGCGTTACTCCAGGAGGACCTTGGTTTCTGCCTGGGGTGCTTCTTTAACTGTCTTCCCATCAGGGGTGACCTTGTACAATGTTATTTTCACAAATAAAGATGGCAGCCTTCACTTCCAGTAGACTGCTCAAATATGTGTCTGTACACTAAATAACCAAAGTCCTCCACCTATATGATTCGCTGTCCATTCATTCTCTATTGTCCTCTCCTGCATGAAGTTGGATCATCAAAAACAGAGTCCTCAGTGTAAAAGGCCCCAGGTGGGCCTCATAAAATCCCTTTCTCTGCACTTCTCATGGTGGGGGGGGCATTATAATACTGTGCCTCAGGAAATTCACTCCTGTACTTACCAAAGGTTTATGGGGAAAGGCTCCCTTCCTTATATTATATCTTCAATATGACACAGACCAGTCCCCTTCCTTATATTGTATCTTCAATATGACACAGGCCATGGATAATTTCTCAGGACTCAACTCATTTTAGTTTTTGGATGTTATAAATCCTGTGATTATTAGTGTCTGCATGTTGTTAATGGTGAGGCTAGAAAAGTGAGAGCCAAATCTGTAGTCCCCCTGAAGCAAGTGTATTAGGTTTCACAGGGGACATATTGTGCACTTAAATTTGCTTCTCAAAGCAACACAGAGAGCTGCAGTGGTGGTGTGGATCATTTGTCATGTGACTTGGGCTTTTTATGGCATTTTCTTATGTTTTATATGATAGAGCATGTATTCTGTTTTTCACAACAAACAAAATTTATTGGGATTCTTCTGCATGACAGACATATGTATGAAAATACCCCACACTGTAGATCATGCAATTCCAATAAAAGCCTTATGAGTGGGCACTCTTCTTTTCCCTATTTACATATGGTGAAATAGAGGCCCAGACAAGCTAATACTTGCCCAATATCCTATGAACAATGTGTGGCAGAGGTGACCTTCGAATTGAAGCAATCTGTCCAGAACTGTAAAAAAAAAGAGTTATTCTCAATGAAGTGTTATTTCAAATGAAGAAATTATCTATGAGGAAAAACTAAGTAGAGTCACCTCACCATCCCTGAATCTAACCAAGCTCAGCTTGAAAATAATCAGAAAAAAAAATATCGCATTTGTTCCGAACTTAAACTTTTTTCTTCTTATTATTTTCTAAAAAATACAGTATAACAACTATTTACACTGCATTTACATTGTATTAGGTATTACGGGCAATCTAAAGAATGACTAAATCAAGTATACAGAAGGATGTACAGAGGCTATATGCAAATACTATGCAAATTGACATGAGACTTGAGCATCTGTGGATTATGGTGTTTGATAGGGTTCCTGGAACCAATCTCCTGTGGATCCTGAGGGGTGACTGTTTACAGTACATATCTCTACCATCAGAAAACATGATTAAAAAAGAAAAAGACAAAAAGGGGTGGCTTGGAATGATATAAACTGTGGAATCCAGTGTGGGTCTGAATTATTTGGGAGGGGTACCATGTACTTACATTATTTTACCTTTTGAATAACTCAGCACCACATAAGGCATACAGATGTCATTTTTTTTAAACCATAAAGGGCAAGCTTTAGAAAGAAAACTTAGATGGTTAGATAATCGAATTTTTGATTCTTTTTAAGGCTTCCATGAAGTTATCAAATGTTTATAGAGACCGAAAATAGAATTTTTTTTTAACAGTCCCTGGGAACAAAGTATTTGCCTTGGCAGTGTTCCCACAAGTGCATCTTTACGACTTCCTTGTTTGATATCCTGTAATTCACTTCTAGCATGCCATCAGCAGGCCAACTTGAGCTGCTACCTCGAGAAGAATTTGAGTTGAGAGGCCAAGAGAGAGCGTGACTGGCTCTTGTTTTCTTGAGTCGTGATAATCACATTTATGAGAAGCTCACAGATAACTCTTTCTGTGAGTGGGTGGGTAGAATGCCTGCTTTTGAGGTTGTCCTCACTAATTTCTGTCAATACTTTATTCTCCCTTCAGAAGTTTCCTTTTGAAATTCTATCATTTGAAACAGCATGGGGCATTGTGTTAAATATGAAATAAGCAAGACACATAAAAGACAGATAACACAAAATCTCACTTATAGGTGGAATCTAACAATCGAAGCAGAGAGTAGAACAGTACCAGGGGCAGGGAACAGTGAGGTTAAATGGTACAAAGTTTCAGACAGGATGAATGAGATGTATATAGCATGATGGCTATCATTAATAATTATGTATATTTCAAAATTGTTAAAGCACCAGATTTTATAAGTTCTGACTATAAAAATAACTGTGAAGTTATGAATGTGTTAATCTGCTTGGTTCAATCATTCCACATTGTAAATATATAAAAATATACAAAATCCTATAAATATATACAATTATTACTTGTAGATTGACAATAAAATTAAGCGGGCTGGGGATGTGGCTCAAGCGGTAGCGCGCTTGCCTGGCATGCGTGCGGCCCGGGTTCGATCCTCAGCACCACATACAAACAAAGATGTTGTGTCCGCTGAAAAACTAAAAAATAAATATTGAAAAATTCTCTCTCTCTCTCTCTCTCTCTCTCTCTCTCTCCCCCCTCACTCTATCTTTAAAAAAAATAAAATTAAAAAAGAATTGTTTTTTTTAGAAAAGAACATTTTCAAGGTATAGCCCTGTTGGTTCTAGTATTCTCTATGTTTTACTACCTTTTCTTTTTTCTTCTTTTTTTTTTAATCCCCCTCCAGGAATTGGGGATTGAATCCATGGGCACTTCACCACAGAGCTACTTCCCCAACCCCCTTTAAAACATTTTTTTTAAGTTGTAGATGGATACATTTATTTGTTGGTTTATTTATCTATATATGGTGCTGAGGATTGAACCCAGTTCCTGAAACGTGCTAGGCAAGTGCTATACCACTGAACTGCAACCACAGCACCTCCCCAACCCTTTTTAATTTTTATTTTGAGACAGGGTCTTGCTAAATTGCTAAATTTTTAATTTTCACTTTGAGACCAGGGGTCACTAAGTTGCCCAGGCTAACCTCAAATTTGAGACCTTCCTGCTTCAACTGAGATTACAGATGTGCACCATGGTACCTGGCTCTATGTTTTGCTATCTTTTAAATTTGCAAGAGTTTCTAAAAAGTTGTCTAAAAAAGGTGCTACGTTTTTATCTCATCCTTTACCCAAAATTCATGTATGACCTAAGAATCCTTTCCCTTCTAAAAGACATCACTATAGAGACAGTTCCTGCTGAGTCTAGGGCCTTTGGGTCTGATAACATCAGTGTTAATATAGGGTTATGCAATTTGTGGATTAAGATTGTAATGGACATGTTGAATTGGCTGGGGCTAAGGAAGGAAATTCCCTGACAGTATTTATGAAAGGAAATAAAGGATGCCAATTCAAGATGTTGATTTACTTCGCATGAAAAGGAGAGTAAGAATGGAAAGTACCAGAATTCTCAGATTATTCCTGAAACTGACTCATTAGCTGCAGATGCTTTGCCTTTTATTTCTTGTCAACCAAATGTGCCTAACATTCAGGGGGAGAAAGTAATTTATTTATATTGATTCCTTTTTATTAAAATTATTTTTAATTGTATTTAAAATATACATAAAATTTACCATCTTAACCTTTTTTTGGCATATATTTTGTTATTTCCCTGAATTCTTTATATACTTAAAAGTTAATACTCATTTTAAAATGCATAAAATGTATTTTACTTTTTGTGTATAACATTCCTGAATCTGTATTCTCATGCTAAGTGTTCTAGGTACACAAAATCCATATTTAGTAAATGAATAATATATGACAGAGTATTAATGCAGTCTGGTTTTTTTTTGTTGTTGTTATTGTTGTTGTTACCAGGGATTCAACTCAGGGGCACTCGACCACTGAGTCACATCCCCAGCCCCATTTTGTGTTTTATTTAGAGACAGAGTCCCACTGAGTTGCTTGCCTCCAGGTTGCTGAGGCTGGCTTTGAACTTGAGATCCTCCTGTCTCAGCCTCCTACACCACTGGGATTATAGGCATGTGTCACCGTGCCCAGCTTGCAGTCTGTTTTTAAGTGCTGGGGATCGAATCCTAGGGCCTTATACATGCTAAGCAAGTGCTCTTCCATTGAGCTACATCTCCTACTTTAAATGATAGTTTTGTATGAGATGTGTCATATAGTCTTCACCACATACCTGTGAGGCAGGAATGATTATGCCCATTTTATAGATACAGAGATTGAGGTTGTAAGGGTCAAAGTCCATTACCTCCAAGGTAAACATTGTTCCTTCCTTGTTCCACATGCCCAGGTTTGCTAGGGAACAACCCAGTTGCTGGCGTTTATTTTGCAATTGGTACTCTTCTGGAAGCAGCCACATTTTCCAAGGACGATTGCATCTGTGACAAACAGTGGCTTGGAGCATGCGGAGTGACTGAGAATTCAAAACTTAATGCTGGCAGTCAAATGCAAGTCGTTACACATCTGTGATTTTCTCTCCCCAGGAGTTAGCTGTGCCTGTGGTCCACGATGGGGGCGCCCTTCTGGCTTTTGTCTGCGGTGTGGTGTATACGCTCCTGCAATCCATCATCTCTTACAAATCGTGTCCACAGTGGAACAGCATCTTGACGTGCCACATACGCATGGCCATCTCTGCTGTTTCCTGTGCAGCTGTTGTCCCCAGTATCCTTTTCACATTTGTCAGTTGCTAAAGCAAAAAAAAAAAAAAAAAAGAATTAATGGCATTTATTAATGTATGGTAAGGAGGACTTCTTTTTAGGCCATAGTGATAGGTGTAGAGACTACTGAGCGTCTTGCAGGGGAGAGAGACTGGGCTGAACTCCCAATACAGCATGGGCAAGTGGGTATTTTAGCCATAGAAGCAGGGCAGGGTCAGAGGTATCGGTGGGGGATGCTGGCTTAATTAATTCTTCTCTTTTTTAAAAATTTATTTTCAGTACTGGGGATTGATCTCAAGGGTGCTGTACCACTGAGCTACATCCCCAGTCCTTTTTATTTTATTTTGAGTCAGGGTCTCACTACGTTGTCCAGGCTGGACTTGAACTTGGGATGCTCCTGCCTCGGCCTTTCGAGTCACTGGAATTACAGGCGTGTGTCATTGTGCTGGGCTAAAACTGGATTTTAGAATGAAGTGTCCAGATGGACTTGGGAGAAGTTTCAGGAGTTCAAAGTTTGGCCAAGCAAAGAATCTTTGTTACACTGTCCTAGCAAGTTTGACACCCTCTCCAAAGGCATGAAAAAAAAAAAAAATCAAAGGATAAAACCACAAGTTTCTACATTCTTCAGAACAACAAACGGGAGAAAACTGTAAATCATTAAGAAAACATCTCAACTTGGTCTGGTTAGATCAAACAAATCTTTGCGGGGGAAGATGGTGTGAAAGGGGAATGGAACAATGTAGGAACACTTCAGTCTCTATTTACTTTCCTTTCCACAGTCTAGTTTCATGAGCCGTTTGAAAATATTTAGTTTTCTTTGTAGTACTTGGCTGAAGATACCAAATATTGATATTGAACTTAAAGCAATAGTCCTGTGAAGTCCCAAGGGTTCACACTGAGATGTTGAAAAAACCATCACTTATTAAGTCAATTAAAAGGTAGGTAGTCTTTTTGTAGTTCAGAATAAAGTTCATTTTCTAATTCAGCAATGTGAAAAAAATTATATGAATTTGTCATGATTGTATATTCTGATTTAGAGGAAATGAAACTTTGTCCTTTTTTTTTTTTTTTGTCTTTTTCTCTCTTCTTTAATGAAGTTTTTAACCAAGAAAATTAAAAAAACTGTGGTCTTTAAAGGTGTGAAGCATCTTTAAAAATACCAACTGTGGTCATATTAAAGAATGCTACAGTGTTCTTAAAAGTGATGATTAATGTCAAATTGCAGAAAAATTGAAACTATTTAATAAGTGGCAATTTCATTAGTTTGGTTTGGGTTATGGTATAAAGTAGGTAAGCTTGAGAACGCATTTTGAATACATCATGTGTTTCTACACATTGAGATTTGTATTTTTCTTTTAAAATAGAAGTTATACAAAATAAGAAGTCTATTTTTTTTAAATCTTAAGGAAATCTCTATTTTTAAAAAAATCTTAAGGAAATCTTTTTCTTTCTTTCTTTCTTTTTTTTTTTTTTTGGTGGGGGGGGATTGAATCCAGAGGGATTACACCTCTGAGGCACATTCCCAGCCCTTTTTTTATTTTTTATTTTGAGATAGGTATCACTAAGTTGCTGAGGCTGGCTTTGAACTTATAGTCCTCCTGCCTCAGCTTCCCCAGTCACCCAGGTATGCGCCACCACACACAGCATTGGAAGGAAATTTTTTAATCACAAAATTTCTAAGCACAGGAACCTACTCTCAAATCCTGAGAAATTCACCAGTTATTTTATCCCTAAGATAATGCCTTCTCAATTTCCTAGTCTTTTTTATGGGTTGAAGATAGATGTTCATGCTTTCTCATGAAATATAACTCCTTAAAACTGGCAGCTTGGGTTGTAAAATGTATAGTGTTTATAGTGTGTGCACTATAGGGTGTATATAGTGTAAAAGCAGATTCTTGGTATAAAATCTTTCCTTGCTTCCAACTTTTAGAGACAGATTCCCCAGATATTAAAAATCATAGAATTTTTAGCAAAATAAACATTTCAGACCTCAAGAGTTTTCTAAAGTATTAGATTTCATTTTAGAAGGCTCTTGCAGCCCCAAACAGAAGTGGTTATGTCCCTGGGGCAAATTAACTAAAATGAATTTTTATCTATATGCAAAAGTCTGTCTTCAACTTCAGCATGGTAATGATATTTCCTTACAAAGGATTCAAAGCATCTTCCAAATGCCCCGCTCTCTTCTTCCTGGGTCATTCTTGTGAAATGAAACTGAGGCTCTGAATGAGAACAGTCATTTAGAGTCACACTTCTGGACTTCTCCTGCTGCATTGTTCATCTTGCACTGACCTCTAAAGCTTTCGAAAGCCTTCACCATCACTAGCAGAATAAAGTCCAGATTCCTTGGCAGGAAGCACATGATCTGATGATGAGCTACTATTTCTCCAACTTCATGTTACACTTTGTGTCCCCTAAGCCTGGCTGTTTCTTGTTCTCTTTTGCCCACGCTCTTCTCCTGCTCTGGATTATCCTTTTTCACCTTTTCTGTTTTGCTGAGGTTTCTTTCCCCTCGCTCCCAAGCCAGTGCAGTACCTGGTGTACTGAAGATGAAAGTAAAGAACAGATAAACGAAAGAATTAGTAGCTGTTAAACAGTTGCACACAGGGGTATGGTGATGAAAATGATAAATCTTTGATGCTCTCAATTTTTTTTATTTTGAGAAACTGGGAAGTGTTAAGTATTGCAAAATATGAAGACGAGACATAGAGAGGATGTGCTGACTCTGAATTCAGAGAAGGCCCTAAATTTGCATTGACTCAGCACTTTGAAGTCCTAATTTTTTGGTAGATTCCATAGAGCTTTCTGTTTTCCTCTTTTTTTTTTTTTTTTTTTGCCTTTATTTTTGGCACTGGAGATTGAACCTAGGGGTGTTCTACCATTGAACTACATCCCCAGCCTCCTTTTTTTTATATTTATTTTTTAATTTTGAGACAGGGCCTCACTAACTTACTGAGGCTGACTTTGAACTTGCAATCCTCCTGCCTCAGCCTCCTGAGCACCTGGGATCACAGGTGTACCACCACCATGCCCAGCTCTATTTTACCCTCTAAATTTGATCACCACCTTTTGTACAGATAGTAGTGTGGAGGGAGGGCAGGAGCCTGGGCCCCTGGCCTTATAAGGCTTGGCCTGAAAGTCTGAAGTAGGCTGAATATCTTTGATTTGGAAACTGTGTCAGGAGAAAGGGCTGCACTTATACCCAGTTATGCAACAGACATCTGTTTTTAACAGGTAGCAGTTTGAATTTTTGTAGCTTATTTTTGCATATAAAATGTTAAATTTTCCTTACAGCTGTTACCTTGAGAATAATATTTTTAGGGAAGATGTATTTTTATTTAGTTAGTAAGTACTCAAAAAGGACCCATTTTGGACTATCCTGTCAGCTATTTTGACCAGCTGTCAACAGCCAATTTAAGTGGGAACATCGACAAACATTGGGGGTCAAGCTGCAAATTAAAATTCTGCTACATGTAACTGAAAAAGTATCACTAAAGTATGACTGCATTTCTGTTGTAATTTAGCTACTATCATATTTGAAGGTCTAAGATTACCAGAAGCCATTAGAACTGGTTTGATTGTAGCAGTGTTATTAATATCTTAACACCACGTATTGATTCTACTAGAATTGTCTTAGTATTATAGAACCATTTTTTTCTTCTGTAGTTTCCTTAACAATGTTCTCTTTTTAAAAAGTGATTGCCTGTGCTTCACTAATTTCTATAACCAAACTGGAGTGGAATCCAAAAGAAAAGGTAACATTTAAGTTGTTCTCAAGATGATGTTGATCCTGTTTATGAGAGATTGTGACTGGCCGAATCCTAGGAAGGATCACTGTCATTTCTTAGAACAGGTTGCAAAATGTGGGGTAAATGTGTCGTGTAATCAACTTACTGCTCAGTTACTTGACAATGCATGTGTTTTAAATAGCTTCAAAAGACAAAATTACAACATCTAATTGGCTTTTATTTGAAATTCCTGAATCTGAGGCAGGGTCCATTCTACAAAATAGAATGAAAGCTCCACCAAGCAGTGGGCACAGTAGGTTTTGTAAAGTGGGAACAAGGAAACAGAACAATGGGGAGAATTTGATTGGCTCACATGGGGCTACTTCACATTATCTTTATTTTGTAAGCAGAAGAGACTTCTTTATCACACAGGCTCAGGTAAATGGAAATCTCCTGTCTTCAGGAAAAAAAAAAATTCTCAGTTTTGTGCTCTATCTAGTCTCTTGAAGTTTCAGTTGGATTATGTGGCACTTAGCATAAGTGACTCCATTTTGGTTTGGTTTGATCTGTTGGAGGCCTAGTGTAGGAGCTTAGGCCTCCCATAACTTTTGCTTAACATTAGTTATTGGGATAATCCCAAATGGTTCCTGAAATCATTTTCAAAATTTAGAATTCCTTATTTCTTTCTTATACACTTCAACTTTTAGAGCTTAGTAAGAGATTGGACCTTAAAGGGTAGGGGACAATGTGAGTGAAGGTTTATAGAGGTCGGATAAAGTGCAGAATGTTAATCAGAGAGGGCAAGACAAGATTCAGTGTAGTGGACAGTTCACTTCAGGACACAGTGACAATTAATATAATCAGGGGTAACTTTGCAAGGAAGCAATGGGCTTCTGGAGGCTGACAGAGAGGTTCAACTTGGCCAGACTAAGCTTTTGAAGACTTCTGATCAGGAAAGGAAATTGAGTGAGTATTATTGGACAAATATTAGGTAGAAGCAACAGCTGGGGTGGATTTAAGAGAGAGTTTGGCATTAGCAGGACCAGAAGCAGAGAGTTCTACGAGTTGAGATTCAAATCAAGATGAACCTCAGTTGGAAATGATAGGATAAAAATACTGGATGAGCCCTTGCACATGGCTGACTTGAGAAGGAAGGGAAATGATGAATCAAAAATGATTTCCAAGTCTTTATTTTGGATGAACCAAATAATTTATTTCCATGGCCACAGAGATACCGTCTTTATCGGGGATAAATGATTTCACAGGCAGAAGTGGATGTGTTTGGTTTTGCAGCCACTGGCATCTGAGGCTACAGGGAAAAATCAAGGCTGAGTGTCCAGTTAAAAATGTGAAGCTAGATCTCTGGTAGGGCCAAGAGCCCTCATGGCATAGAATAGAGTGACCAATAATTTCCAAACCAAATATCAGAAACACCTGGACCCAAGTATGTGAAACTGAGATCACCCCATGCCATGAAACTCTTATGATAGTGCTTCATCCAGATGTGGTACAGGAGACTGAATGAATGATGCCCCAGGAGAGAAGGGATTTAGTGAGAGAACAGCAATAGATTGTTTTCCAAAGGGCAGGTGAAAGGACTATACCCAGAAAAAAAAAAAAAGACATAAAAAGAAGAGTCATGAATCAAGAAGAATCAGAACTGGGCAGTATGGCTGACTTCACTGACCAAGTCCCTATTGCAAGCAAGATTGTGCTGAGGGATGCTGGGGGAATGGTCAGCCATAGGGTGGCAGGTCCCCAAGGAAGCCTATAGTTGAGTGGGGGCAAACAACCAGTTGTCCACTGCCAAAGGTGGTTCTTTGAAACATGAATTCTCAATCTGAAATGAGAAGAAGATATATTACCCTAGAGAGCAAGAGGAGGGCATTTTTCAGGAGAAAGGGAAATGATTATTCATGGCAGATGGGTCTGAACAAACAGCCTTTAGGAATGGAACGAGGTCCCTGAATTTGGGCAATGAAGGCTGGTTCACTCATTCAGCTATCCACATAGGTTTGCTGGGGGAAAATGCGGGGTTGGCTAGAGGGGATAGCAGGGTCACAGGAAGGGCTCCCCAAGACAGAGGATACTAGCTCTCCACGGAGGTTGCTGAGACCCGGGAAGGACTGAAGATGGTGGTAAGGAAGAGAATAATCCAGACAAGAATTCAAAAAACACTTCCTTTGAATATGACAGGAAGATGTCCAGATTATCCAAGAGGTTAGACCTAGAAAAAAGCAACTTTTTTTTTTTTTTTTCCTGCATGGGGGGGAAATAAGTTCCTATCCAAAGGGGCTTAGGCTCCTCTTTCCACTGGGGGATCTCCTCCTGACAAGAAACCAAACAGCAGAGCAGGCCCAGGTGTACTTTACTATTAGGCCACTGGGGGGCGACCTTCCACCACAAGTCAAGGGCTCCACAAAGCATATCCCCAGGTCTCTGAAAAATCTGTCACCTTCCATTTCCTATCTAAAAGAGTGAAAAGTACCTGATTTTCTATTCCGTCTATAAATTTCTGTGCCACTTTGGTGTTTCCTTCTGTTTCCAGTATCAGTGGCTGCAAAATCAGAAAACAAACAACAACGTGAACCTCTTTACATTAATTACCTGAAAAGAATAATCATTTTAGGCACTGCCCTAGATTTCTGTATAGTATTTTAGAGCTTTCACTGCATACCTATGTGCATGGGCTTACTCGGTAGGGAGGGTGAGAAATATGTCCCTGTTTCATCCCACCGAGCGAGGAGTTCAGAGCTTGGCCTGTGTTCACATTTGGATGAAGCCACTCCACGGAACTTGTATTAATATGATGCTGGAGACATCCCCCATACCCTCTGCCATTGTGTCTCTGTTTGTTTTTTCTTTTCAAAGTCAAGATTTTAATATGTTTTCCTTCACGTCAATGTCCTCTCCCACCCCTTTTTACGCCTCCTTTTAATAAGCCGTCTTCATTGTCCAGGGATGATATGGGATGGGACATGTCCCCTGTTGCTGGCACCAAAAAGAGGAAGCCTCTGTTCTCCACTCCTAATGCAGGCTGGCCAGGTTCTCCCCAGCGTGCCCTGGAATGAGAACAATGGATGGATGTGTCCCTGGAGACTGCCAAAAGTGATGTCTGCTCGAGTTTGATAAATCTGTTAAATCTTTATGGGATGAAAACAGGGTCAAGGAAAAGAGCTGTCACCATGGAACTGACTAGCAACCCAGCACACGTTTTTACTCACACATGTAACCTATAGCAGAGCAGAAAGCGAAGTAGGAAAAACAATTAACCTTATTTGAAATCAGAGGGGGTAAACTAAGAGTCTGCAGGCCTAGTTTGGCATGTGAGCTAAAGTTAAAATGCAGACATTCGTTTTTTCCTTACTTAGATGGAATTTTAAAATGCTTTGAAATGAGTTTCCAGCATAAGAAAAAAAAAAAAAACCAGGAGATCACATACACATGTGCACATATACATGCATGCACACAAATAGGCTTTTTTTTTTTTTTAAACTTCTTTCAAAGAAGCACTGGGGTATTATTTTCCCATTTTGTGAATGTGGAATTGAGTTGATGAGGCATGGGCCCCTCTTTCTCTCTTTCACCTAACAACCATCAGTTTCATTTATTTTTATTAATTTCCTGGCCTCCATAAGCAACTGAGCTTGGAAACCCCCATGAAAGCCACTTTGATTCTTGGCTCCCATTCTTCTCCTTGTCTTGGAGAAGATATGCAGGTGTCCTGGGGAAGTCTCATTACTAGCATTTGCTTTGCAGCTTTATTTACCTTTTGATATAAGCAGAACTGACTGCTGAATGAGCGATTTCTCCAGTTACAGGGAAACTTAAAACCCAGTGGGGGCTTTATGTTTTGTCTTGTCTAGATGCACACAGTCATTCTTTGGAATAACCACAGGAGCGCAGACTAGATGCTTGTTAAACGTGCCCTTCAGCTACAGGATTCCCAACTGCGGGAGACCAAGGCATGCCTTAAATGGAAAGTTCTTTCTTCTGTTGAGTCTAAATTTCCTTCCCAGTCTTAACTGTTTTGTGGTCCATATTTTGCCTTTTGAAGTTATGCAGACTGTCTTAAAACCGGAGTGTGTGAGAGCCAGAGAGAATATTCAGGATCATTCCATTCCTGTTCTTATTGGGCCAGTCCCTAAAGTTTATCTATTGTGGTCTTGCTTATATTGTTTCCTCAAGGTTCTGGTTTAGGCTTTCTGGACAGCTTCTCGCACCTCTGGTCTGTCTCATTATTATTTCAGGTTGTATGCTAAGTGGGTATTTTTTAGGCTAAATTCTCTTTCTTTATTATTGCTATTAGGATTATGTGTACCATGTAGTGAGCGCAATCTGTGAATGGACCGTGGCCTTTGGTTTTATTTTCTACTTCCTAACATTCATCCAAGATTTTCAGGTAGGTATTTATCAGTTCAGATGTTACAAATTGCTGACAATTGGGGATTAGTAAAAAAATTTAGAAAAAAATTATTGAATTTAAAAAGAACAGTTTGTTTTTATTCTTTTTTTTTTAAAGAGAGAGAGAGAGAGAGAGAGAGAGAGAGAGAGAGAATTTTAATATTTATTTTTTAGTTTTCGGCGGTCACAACATCTTTGTTTGTATGTGGTGCTGAGGATCGAACCTGGGCCGCACGCATGCCAGACGAGCGCGCTACTGCTTGAGTCACATCCCCAGCCCTGTTTTTATTCTTGATGTGTTTGAAAAATACATATTGTGCAACTTAGTTTACTTATTCCCAAAGGGAAACATTTTTCTATATTTAATATGTATAATAATTATGCATAATTAATAAATATAATAATTAATTCACATATTTTACTATTATACATAATGGCAAGATTTGCTGCTACATATTTGTACATGCACATAATATAACAATGTAAGTGGGTCAATATTGTTCCCCAGTATTTTCCCTTTCCCTTCCCTCCTCCTTCCCTGATCCCTTTCCTCTACTTTACTGGTCTCCTTTCAATTCTCTCAAGATTCCCCCTAGTACCTTTCTTTTCCTTTTCTCTCTCTCTAGCTTCCACATAATAGAAAACACATATGATCCTTGACTTGAGTTTGACTTAGTTTACTTAACATAATATTCTCAAGTTCATCCATTTTCCTGCAACTATGTACTTTCATTCTTCTTTATGGCTAAATAAAACTCCATTGTGTATATATACAACCTTTTCATTCATCCATTGATGGACACCTAGGCTGGTTCTATAGTTTGGTTATTGTGAATTGTGCTGCTAATAAACATAGGTATACAGGAATCCCTATAGCATGCTGACTTTTAATTCTTGAGGATAAATAACAAGGAGTGGTATATTTGGGTCATATGGTGGTTCCCTGCTTAGTCTTTTGTAGCACCTCCATACTGATTTCCATAGTAGTTGTACTAATTTACAATCCCACCAACAGTGTGAAAGGGTTCCTTTTACTCCACATCCTCTCCAGCAATTATTATTGTTTGATGGCTGCCATTTGGACTAGTGTGAGGTAAAATCTCAGTGGAGTTTTGATTTGCATTTCCCTAATTGCTAATGATGTTGAACATTTTTTCATATATTTGTTGGTCATTTGTATTTATTCTTTTGAGAAGTGTCTGTTTAGCTCATTTGCCTATTTATTTACTAATGGGGGTTTTACTGGTGTTAAGTTTTTTGAATTATTTATATATTCTGGATATTAGTCATCTATCAGAAGAGTAGCTAGAAATTTTTTTTCTACCATTCTGTAAGTTCTCTCTCCAAAGAGAAGCATCCCTATAGCTCACTCAATCAATGAAATTTTCCTATGCCTTCTGCTACTTGAGATATGCTTCAAGCCATGTACCCTGATTGTTTTAGAGGATTCACTCGTTCCAAAAACCAGAAAATATGTCTTTTTAAAAAGGAAAAGTGTGTTGTTCAAAAATGTTCTCAAGGCAGAGAGAAGGTTGGGACCTTAGCAGACTTGGCTGTAGTGAAAGTCTTACATTTTGAAACAAGTGAATTATTAGTTAAAAGAATACAGAAAGCCAAGAAAAATTCTATAATGCCCAAATCAAACATAGCACAAACCATAGTGAGGTCATCACTCAGGTGGGGTAACGCTGCTGGAAGTTTCATAGTTAGCCCTGGAATTGTTCAATTTCTTTGAAATCTTTTTTCTTTTCTTCTTTTTCTTTTTTTTCTTCTTCTTTTTAATAGAGTGTTACCTTAAGGATATCCACAGAAATCAATGGTGATGTTTGAAGAAAAGAGGATTCTGTCTCAGTGAATGTCACAGATGGTTTCTAGAAGTGGCACAGAGAGGGACAGGTTTTGATGCCGCCCCGATTGGGATGCATTTGCGGTACATCCAGGACTTGAATTTCACCAAGATTCCTATAGTTGTACTATTTACAAAGGTATGTTTTCCTAGAGAATGTAGAGCATTTATAACATTGTAGCAATATTTTTATACTTTTCTAAGTAGACACTTTTTTATATAAACTCTTATACAGAAAAGATAAGGTGTTACAGAAAATGGAGAGCTCCTATTTTGTACATATTCTGTTGCTTGTTGTCTTTGTGTGCAAGTGTTCTATAGAAATACACTAAATGAGGAATTGAAGTTTAGTACATTTATTAAAAAGCAAAATCCGTGGATATTCATTTTAAAATTTCATTTTTAGAGAATTAACTATATACATCTGTTATCTCAGGAGCATTTATAAAATTCAACTGAAAATAATGATCATATGCCCAAATTTCAAATATTCAGTTAATAAATTAACACTAAGATACTCTGGGTTTTAGATGAAATATGAAAAATTCTTCTATGGGGAGGCCTTACTACTATTCACTGTGGCATTAGCGGAATACAGAAGTGCCCTGGGTTTTGAAATTCTGCCTTTTCAGTTTCTCCCTGTCCACAAGGCTGCAACTGTCCCCTGCTGCTGATTGGCAGTCACTAGTAGTGGGAATTCCCACGGGATGGGTTCAGCGAGGCAGATTAGAAATTGTACAACTCTCCTTTACTATAAAGGTGTAACCTCAATAACAGTCTGATTTAGAAGCTGAAACTCACATCTTTCAAATTCATTTATGCCTGTAAACACCAAAGAGAATTCAGGTCCAAGAGAGAGACAGGGAGAAAGGAGAGGGGTCAGTTGAAAGATCTGGGCATTGGAGGTGCTGTTTATTTTCTCCTCCTTTTAATGTATGTGCTCAGATGTTCCACAACACTATAGAAAATATAAGTCAGGCCCTTGGGGTTAAGCAGGACCTATAGACTCTGCCTTTTTACCCAAATCACCAATGGCAACTGAAAAGCAAGTCCTTCTAGAGAAAGAAGCAGCTCTAGGAATGTTGACAAGAAGGTATTCCCTCTTTCAAAGACCCTCAGACTACAACCTTGGGTATGGCCAAGTGGGAGCAGACCTTGAGGGTTCATAACAAGGGCTTAGTAGCCCATCTGGACAGCCTTGGAGAGGGCATCTCGGGAGTGGGGAGCCCATTGCGGCTCCCTATTAACTCTGCTACGCAGTCTTCCACCTCTGCCATGACCACCTGCCACTCCCCCAAGTGCTCTGGGATGGGAAGCTGATAACCACTTCTGGGTCACTTAACTTGTTGTAATGCTGTGGATCCTTATTGTAACACTGGAACTAAAGAGTGACATTGGTTCTGAAGAGGAAAAGGAGCCCACGTGCTTCTTCCGTGGACCCTACGGTAGAGTGAACCCATGGAGTGTCTCTCTGGGAAGCAGACTCTTGTTATCAGCACTTGTCAAAGATGCACTGTCATTCTACATCTCCGTCTCTTTGCACAATTAGATTGAGCGCTCCTTGAGGGCAGAGAATGTGCTTTAATCTTTACCTTTGTAACCCCAGCATTCAACACAGTACCTCCTGGAACACCGTAGGTGCTTCTTAAACAGTTATTTACTGAATGTGCATGCATGAATGACTGAATGAGCAAATGAAGGAATGACTCAGGGTATTTGAGGTGCTGCATAATGGGATTTATTGATTCAAGTTTACTAGTTACTTTAATGTAAACCAATTGTATCACCCCGTCGATGTTGACTGTTTTGCTTTGTGTACTGTCAACATTTCAGTTGTTTGGGCTCCATGATTCTATGACAACTCTCTTCTGGACAGTTACCACAGAAATTGTTACATGGGCTAGACCAAACGCTACACCTGTCTGGGCAAACTGAGAAGGCCCAAAATCACTACAGATAATCACATTCTGCTGATTCCGTGCAACCTCTAAAGCTGGTTTTATTCATATTTTGGTATTATGTTTTAACTTTTATGAACTCACCTTTCCTTGTCCCTCATGACTTAAAAAGAAAATAAAATGAAATATTTCTTTATTTTAGTAATTTGTGTCCCTGTTTAATTATAAAATGTCACCTGGTACTACTATGATGCATATTTATCTGGGAGATGATTCCACACCCTCTTGGACTACACAAAGGTATGGCTTAAACCTTGTGTTTTCTTAATTCATGTAGCTTTGCATGTAGTCACTGTTGGTTTATCTTTGTAGAGATTCTCAAACAGTCTCAGGAGATCATATCAGTCAAGACTCTTAGAGCTGAAGACATCAGAAATCTAGCCTTGTGAAGGAAAAATGGGTATCTACTAACCTGGGAAGCTGGGAAGTTCAAGAGTACAGCTGGCATCAGGGATAGGGGGATCAAGAAGTGTTCCCAGGATTCCATCTCCCTCCTCCCTCAGTGCTTTTCTCTCTATGGACATGTTTTTTAGGTAGCTCCCCCTCTCCCTGGGAGGGAGAAGGCTTCTAGAACCTTGGGGCCTCCAACCTATCCAGTAGAAACCAAGGAATTCCAAGTGGTTCCAACAAAAAAACCAGAATTGAGACTCATTGTTCCTGATTGGCTGGCTTGAGTCACATGCCCAGGGGAGAGTGGTATTCTGATTGGTCAGAATTAAGTCACATGTCCTCTGAAGAGGGCTGATTGGTCAGTGAAAGTGGTTTCTCAGGTGTGGGAAAAGGACCTTGGAAATACAAAAAGCAGCATATTTCACTGAGGAATCTAGGTCTCCCTGGACCCCCACAACCCATCCTAACTTGCTTTAGTAAATCAAAGTATACATGCTAATAACGTTTTCAGAACCAAAAAGAAAAAAAAAAAGTAAATAAGCAATTGAGGTAACACAGATGCCTTCTGTTAATTTCTAAGTCATGTTTATATTCTTCAAGGCTCCTGTGTTCATTCTTAACCTCTGTGAGGTTGAACAGGCAGTTAATTATCACATTTTTCAGATGAGGAAACTATCACAAAGAGAGGTTCAGTGACCTGCAAGTGCTTCTATAGCCAGATGGCAAGAGATTCAGTCTGGAAGTCTGTTTTCCTGATTCCTCATCAAGTCCCCCAGTGACACCCCCCCACACACCCTACCCCCCTCGCCTTTATTTAACACTAACACAGAGGATTCCACAGAAATTGCAAATTGCATCTCATAAACCAAATTAAGCACATCAACGTTGTGCTGTGTTTGGGTTTCCTAACGTCTCTTACATGTGGCATTGTCCCATGTTCCCATTTTTTTACTCAGCTGGAGACATACTGGTCTGGTGTTTGGGCCTGGAATGAGGAAAAGGGGAGTGGGAGGAGATAAGTGGTCTCCCCTTCTCTCCCACTCCCTGCATCTGGCAAGCCGGGAAGCCCAGCCGTCTCCCCACTCACATACTCTTGGTCTGGCTCTGAATGCCCCGCATTCTCAAGTCCAGAATGTCATGCATCTGTGTCGTGTCTGTTGCACAAGAGAGCAACCACAGCCTCAAATCCTGGAGGAAAAGCTTCTGGCTCTGCTTGGTCACCCCCAGCAGATTCATTTTCTAAAGTGAAGAGCGGCCGGATCCCTAACTCACATTGGGGGTGGCAGCGACCTCCAAAGTCGATGCCTGGAAAATGCTGAGGGAGATGGCAACTAATGTGCTGGGTGGTTGAAGCCAGGGTGCCACGAGGTGCCAGGAAAGCCTGTTGGTTGGGCAGCCTGTCACAGAAAGCAGGGCTCTGTGCTGTACCATCCCCAAAGCCAGTTCCACCTCTTATTTTTCAGTTGTGTGAGTAGATAGCCTCTAATTCCAAAAAAACCTGAGTTGGATGACTAAGGATTCTCCCGATATGAAAATACTATAACAGTCTCCATTGTTACAGTTTAGCTATGAGGTGTCCCCAAAAAGCTCATGTGTGAGACCATGCAAGAATGTTCAGGGGTGAAGTGATTGGATTGTGAGAGGTGTAACCTAATGAGTGAATGAATATACTAAAATGGATTAACTGAGAAGTGACCCTAGGTGGGTAGGGTGTGGCTGAAGGAAGTAGGCCACTGGGGTAGGGATGCCTTTGAGGTTTAGATTTCCGCCTCTACTGAATACAGCACTCTTTCTGTCTGCTTTCTGGTTATCATGTCCTAAGCAGCTTCCCTCCACCCCACTCTTCCACCATGATGTTCTGCCTTACCTGGGCCCAGAGCTATGGAGTGGGTGGACATGGATTGAACCTCTGAATCATGAGCCAAAATAAACTTTTCCTTCTCTACATTATTCTTGTCAGGGCTCTTGGTCACAGCAATGCAAAAGCTGACTAACACACCATGTGGGATGGAAAGATAATTTCTAGATAAGTGGGATTCAGCTGCCCCATTTACAAATCCTTACTTTGTGAATCTTTTGTTCTAATTTAATATTTTTTGAGTGAATATCATATGATTCCAAAATCAAAGCATCACGCAAACAGACTGTGAAAAGCCATCTTGTTTTCCTTTACTCACATTTACTCAGTTCATTCTCCTTGCAGATATTCTCTTGTTTATCTGATTTTTATGAAAAGACAAGCAAAACCAGGCTGGGGCTATAGCTCAGTTGGTAGAGTGTGCTTGTCTTGCATGCACAAGGCCCTGGGTTTGATTTCCAGCACCAAAAAAAGAAAACCACAAAA